GAAAGACAAAATAAGCATGGTGAGATGATACCTTTTTATTTGAAAGGCTTGGGTGTTGTTTTCAAGAGGTCTGTCTCGGTAGACCTTCACTTCGTGTTCTGCAGAGGTGCGGCTTTATGAGAATAAGTTATTCTCATAACTAGGATCATCATTTCAGGTTTGGCGATCGTGGGAGGGTGGAGGAAATTTCAATAGCAAATCACAGCAAGGTTCAAAGGCCTCCTTATGGCTACATCCAAGAGTAAACTGAAAAAGGAACAGAAACCTGGGTGTTTGAATAGCATTTGCTACGGTTACTTACTTTTGAAAACCTCATGAGAAGTAGAGGTGACTTCCACACGGTGACGATTCTGTTGCTGCTGCAGCTGACGCTCCCCCCACTGGTGTGATGTGGGGAATGACCACCATGGGGGATTTGAGCAGGGAAAATGGTTCCATTGTTGGCAGGATCTGAGAAGATCTGAACTTTCCCATCCACAAGGCAGGCCACCTTTGCTGTGATCTTTCCAAATGCTCCGTTGTCAAATATGTTTTGGAAAGACTGCAGGAAAGTGAGGGTACACTGGAAGGTACGCAAAAGCACCGTGATGCTATGTGGAAGCAGGAAGACCGTTCCTTCCCTTTTGCCTTCAAGCCAGGCCAAACACAGAAGTGACTTTGCAGTAGAATCCTAAGTAGAGTTACCTCCTTGACTTCAGTGGATTCAGACAGGTGTAACTCTGCTTAGGATTGCACTGTTTGAACCACACTGGAGATCCGTGATCGATCATGTCCACTAACATTATGTTGTTCCTAAAAGGCAGATGTGTGTGAGAGGGGTGTGATCTAGATTGTGGCCATTGCAGTGGACAAAGTAGGGCTTTTAACTCTCCCCCCCCAGGCCACTGTCAATCAAAGCTGTATTTCCCAGCTGCAGTTACTCCCAATGAAGAAGAAGACAGGGAAAGATGTGGTGCCTGTCTTTTTTCCTGTTAGGGCTGATTGTGGTTCCTAGATGGGGGTTCGTTTTTGAACAGGAAACAGGATAGAGGGGCACAGATTACCCCCTCCTTGCTCTGCTTACAATTAATAAACCCTGTGGCTTTTTTCACCATCAAAAAACACGCCACGAGAGCCAGTAAGAGATCTCGTATATAAAGAGTAGTTTGGCCCACAGATGCTGCCAAAAATGTGGTTTAAACGCAGCGCTTGGAGAATGGTGGCGGCGAGCAACCATTGTTCCTCACCTTCTCTAGATGGTTATAAAGCTGGTGCATGAGTCAGATGGCCAAGTGCCAATGAGGGGTGCCAGGTGGGACCTGGAATTACAGCTCATCACACGGGGGAAAAGCCCTTCCTCTGCAGCCACTGTGGCAAGCACTTCAGCATCAGCTCAAACTTGACGCGACACCAGCGCATCCACACAGGTGAGAAGCCGCACGTCTGTGACGCCTGCGGCAAGGGCTTCACCGACAAGTCCACCCTGACACAGCACCAGCACACGCACACTGGTGAGAAGCCGTATATCTGCATCTACTGTGGCAAGAACTTTAGCCGCAGCTCTCACCACAAGAGAAATGAGCGCACTCACACATCTGGGGATGACCCTCAGGCCTTCCTTCCATTTTGGCACGATCCTCCATCACAGATTTTCTAGCTCATAAAAAGAGGCAGGGAGGACGGGTATACTTACTGTGAGGAAGGTGGACAGGAACAGACAGATGCCTCATACCAGAAAAGCAGTGTCCTTCCATCATTAGAAAAGATCATCCAGTAGCACCTTAGAGACTAATAATATATGTGGCAGGGTAGGAGTTTTTGCGAATCACGGCTCACTTCTTCAGATACAACTAGAATGGGAGTCCATCTGTCCTATCTGTTGGGAAATGAAGGGATTTCAGATGCCGAATGACATGAGCAGGCAAATGACAATAGCAGGTGAATGACAGCAGCAGGTGTGATTACGAAAGCTCCTACCTGCCTCATATTTTGTTAGTCTTTAAGGTGCTCCTGGACTCTTGCTCTTTTCTACTGCTACAGACAGACTAACACGGCTACCCATCTTGAAAAGTGAATACTTTTTGTCCTTGGGTAGCCAATACGTTCTGGATAGGGACAAAAGATAGCACCCTCCCATTTTCCCCTTCTTAATTTATTCACTTAATAATGTATACATGAAGACATGTTTCTAGTGAAACAGAATGTAAATGGACACATGGGCTACCTTCCCTGTCCTTAACAATATCCGGGGACATTAAGAACTTCCTGAAATATTACCTGCTGAGACACGCCAACAGTTCCTCTGAGCGGAATCTCAGCCATAAAAATGAGACACTTTTTGACACTGCCATCAAGTGGTTTATGACCGGTAAGCACAGAGATGTGTAAGCTGCCCCAATTCATTTATTTGGTGGATGGGGAGTCTTGCAGTCTTGTCTTCAGAAGGTAAAGGTAAAGGTTCCCTTGCTCGAAAGCCAGTCGAATCCGACTCTAGGGTTGCGGTGCTCATCTCTGTTTCAAAGCCGAAGAGCCAGCGCTCTCCGAAGACGTTTCCGTGGTCATGTGGCCGGCATGACTAAACACCAAGGCTCACGGAATGCTGTTACTTTCCCACCGAAGTGGTACCTATTTATCTACTTGCAATTTCTTGCTTTCGAGCTGCTAGGTTGGCAGGAGCCGGAACTAGAGATGGGAGCTCACTCCATCATGCGGCACCCTGGTCTCGAACTGCTGAACTACTGACCTTCCACAGCCTGCAGTTCAGCGTCTTAACCACTTGAGCCACCGCAGCTTCTTCAGAATATAGGGGCTCAAAACCGGGGGGAATTCTGCCCCCCGGGGGGATTTGGGACCCCTAGCTGGTGGCCAGGGGTGTCCTGACAACTCTAATTTACCGACAGTTCAATACAACATTATTTGTTTAATTGTGGGAAAAAATCCCCCATATGCCCACTAACCCAAAAGGGTTTCTCAATGTGATTTCCATAAACTGCACAAAAACTACAAACCAAGTTGACAGAGGTGACTGATCCACAGCAACAATAAACTCGAGTGACAGTTTTATTCTACAAAGGTGTGCTTGAATAGTAAGGTAACCATCTTCTGAAAAGTTGCAAACAAGCTGGTTCAGTGGGCCTCCTTAAGGACTGCCACACAAAGTGTGTTTCCATAGCGAAGGCCCCATTTCTTGCCTTACACCAGATGGCAGGATCTGTGGACTACCCTGATGCTCTTGGGGGAATGTGGGGAAAGATACATCAATAGATATAGACATATAGAGATAGAGATGTAGATATAGATCTGATTTTATGGCTGATTTAATTTCACAGTTCTTGTCTGTTTGCCCCATTATGTTGTTTTATGCTTTCTTTGGAAGCTACTTCAGGTCAGGAACTCTTACACATTACATGTGCAGGGTGAAAATATCTAAACAGATAAACGCTGTGAGGTAAATCCCCATAGTTTCCATTCAACAAATGGGGACTGAGAAAGGTTTCCTGGCTCCTTTTGAGTACAGTACTAAGCTTTGGCCCTTAATACAGGGAATGCCAACTAATGTCAGCTATCATGACTGTCTATTGCTGAGGGCAGTGTATACAATTCTGGTCCTCCCCTCTTCTATCCTGTGAGGTAGGCTTGGCTGATAGACCCAGCAAGCTTCAGGACAGGGAGAGTGGGAATTTGAACCAAGGCCTAGTCCAAGCACTATACCACACAGGTTCTCAACAATGCGTGATGGGTTGGCTTATCAGTGATCCCCCAACTGTGTATGCAGGGTGTGTCTAGAAGGGCACAGATTCCTCCATTGTTATTGCCTTGGAGCTTCCTGAAGGTAAGATATTGGGCTTGGTGGATCGCCAGTGGGGAGGACATTTTTTCGCCTTCAGTCCTAATATTAGAACTTGGGGGTCAACCTCACTCGTGAAGGTGACTGCCGCTGGGCTCTGGACCTCTGCCCAAGATATTGGATGGCTGCAGCCGGTCAGAGGAGACAGCAGTGAGTTAGATGGATCAGCAACAATCTGACTCTGGGCCAATGTTCCCTCTAAGCTGTGGAGTCCTGTGAGCAAAAATTCTACTCTGTGAGCAACTGGCATTAAAGTTGTGAGTGAGCGATGTGGCTGCTGCAGAAATTAGTTTGCTCTGGAGCCATCCTTCCTGAGCTAAGACAGAAATGTGTGAGCTGGAGGCTAAGAAACTGTGAGCTGGCTCACACTAACTCACCTTAGAGGGAACACTGCTCTGGGCCAGAAGGGAGCCTCACACCTTTTCTGTGTCAAAAGAAAGTATTTCTTCGCACTGCCTAATTAACACCGTTGACTCACCATAAATCAGTTATGGTGTGGGATGCTTGTCCAGAAAGCTGTAAAAATGGACTAGGCAAATTCTAGGAGCATAGGCCTATCCACCAGTATTCGTGATGATAGTTTCATGGAACTTCCAGGTATATCTCTGAATATAATTTATTTATTTATTTATTAGATTTTTTTACCCTGCCCTCCCGGCCATTTTCTGCTTGTGAGTGTCCAAAGGCCACTGGCTGGTGGGTATTAGAAACAAAATGCTGCGGCAGAGGAATATCTGTTTTTATGTGGCAATGTGATTCTTCCATTCTCATTCATTATACCATCTCTGCAAGATACAGACACCCTGAGCTACAGTTAAGGAGCCACTTCAGAATAGTGGATTGGGCCCAGGGCCCAGGATTGATTGCAGTTCCCACAGATTGTTGATTCTCCTGTTCAACACTTTATGCACACTGGGGGTGGGGGTGGGGCTGTGATTGCTCCCATAGTTTTGGTTCCTCGGTTCCAAAGCTGTGAGCCCAGAAAATCAATATTCTAGAGCAAGGCTGACCCCACCACCCTTTTATAGAAGCCATCACAGCTGAGTGGCAGGATCCATATGGGATGTCCAAAGTCTAGTGTTCAGTTCCTGGCACCATTGGTAACCAATGTCTGACAGCAGATCTGGGGAAGTTGTTTGACTGAGGCTTTGAGAAGTTTCTGCCTGTCACAGTTGACCGTGCTGAGCTATATCACTTAAAGCCCGTTAAGACAGAGTGGTGTCTCTGCGTAAGAATTCTTCTCATCATGTCTTCACAACTGTATTTATTTCTTTTCAGTATTTCTGTCCGGCCCTTCCAGTAGGCTCAGGGGAGCTAGCAAAGAGAGATACCAATGCAGGAAGCTAAAAACCCGTTATTAACTACTGAATGAACTCACACGGCTCTTACCTACAACAATCCACCAATGTTACAGTTGAACAGCGTTACAAATTTAAAAATTCATCAGACCAATAATTGTCGGTAGTGGTTCTCTGGATAGAAATGCCAGCCTCCATGTGGGACCTGGGGATTCCCTGGAATTACAGCTCATCTCCAGACTGCAGAGATCAGTTCCCCTGGAGAAAAGGGATGCTGTGGAGGGTGGACTCTGTGGCCACTGTACCCCATTGAGGTCCCTGTCTTCCCTAGGCCACGCCCCCAAATCTCCAGGGGTTTCCCAACCTGGATCTGGCCAGTCGAATCCGACTCTAGGGTTGCAGTGCTCATCTCTGTTTCAAAGCCAAAGAGCCAGCGCTGTCCGAAGACGTTTCCGTGGTCATGTGGCCGGCATGACTAAACACCAAGGCGCATGAAACGCTGTTACCTTCCCACCGAAGTGGTACCTCTTTATCTACTTGCAATTTCTTGCTTTCGAACTGCTGGGTTGGCAGGAGCTGGAACTAGAGACGGGAGCTCACTCCATCATGCGGCACCCGGGTCTCGAACTGCTGAACTACTGACCTTCCACAGCCTGCAGTTCAGCGTCTTAACCACTTGAGCCACCGCAGCTCCTTAAAACATACTTACAGGAACATTAATTTACAATCCATAAAATTGCACCCTAGCTCAGGCATCAGAATAAAACATGATAATTTGACAACGAACACCCAACACCCCAGATTGCTGGAAAACTTGTAGGTCACTAATGTTTATGAGGGGCATTATAGGGCTTCTTTTTATGATTGCTGGTTTAGATAGGGCAACTTCACTAAGTATCAACTGTATTTTGTGAAACAACTTTTAATGTTAAATAAAGTTTTTCACAAAGGTTAATGCCTCTCTTGCCAGGCACAGAGGAGTCTTATAAAGCATTTCTTAAGGCACACAACATTACTGGTCCGCATCTACTAGCACCTTACAAGTTCTATTCTCCTCAAGGATTGGCTAGAAATTAGGGATGCCAACCTCCAGGTGAGGCCTGGGGATCTCTTGGAATTAAAACTGATCAGGTCCCCTGTAGAAAAGGCCTGCTTTGGAGGGTGGACTGTATGGCATTATATCCCCCTGAAGTTCCTTCTCCCTTCCCCAAACCCCTCCTTCCCCAGGCTCCACCCCTCCCAAATCTCCAGGTATTTCTCAACCCAGAGTTAGCAGTCCTAAATAGTTGGGCCTCATCCTTACTCCGCATGAACTGAAGAACACTTTAGGCAGCTGTGCTCTACAAGGAGAGACCCAGAAAGGGTGGATGCTGCTTTACTGCCTTTGAACGGCTGGGTCTTATTTTCGGGGAAACACAGTAGTTGGGCCTCATCCTTACTCTGCATGAACAGAAGAACACTTTAGGCCGATGTGCTCTACAAGGAGAGGCCCAGAAAGGGTGGATGCTGCTTTACTGCCTTTGAACGGCTGGCTGAAGAGCCAAGAATGACATGAAGATTTTATTTAGGGTTGTCAACTCAGGGTTGTGAAATTTCAGGGCTATTTTTGGGCAGGAACGCACAGGAACAGAGTTCCGGCTGGCTCCCAAGTTGGCCACACCCAGCAGGAACTCATTAGCATAACAGGCCACACCCAGCAGTAGAAACTCATTAGAATTGGCTACATTAGGGGTGTGTGGCCTAACATGCAAAGGAGTTCCTGCTACAAAATAAGCCTTGGGTTTTGACAACAAACAAGGAAAACAGAATAAGAAGCAAAAGGTGGGTGTGGCTGGATGACCACACTTCTGGTAACATGGAGGTGTGGCCTAATATGCTAATGAGTGGTACAATCAGGGGTGTGGCCTAATATGCTAATGAGTCTCTGCTGCTGGGTGTGGCCTATTATGCTGATGAGTTCCTGCTGGACTTTTTCTACAAAAAAAGCCCTGAAATTCCTGGATATTTGGGGTGGGGGTTGAAGCGTGGAGAGGGTGGGGTTGTGGGGGATTACTTCAACGGGGTGTTAGTGCCATTATACAGTCCATGCTCCAAAGCAGCCAATTTTCTCCAGGGGAACTGACCTCTGTTGTCTGGAGATCCATCGTGATTCCAGGAGATCTCCAGGCTCCACCAGGAGGCTGGCAACCCTATGCCTTGATTTAGTAAGCAGATGTTGTATTAAAGATCGGTCATCTGTTCATGACCCAATACTGGCCCCAATTCACTTTCAACAAGTCTGGGAGAGAAAAATCCAGGATTTGGAATTTCATTCTCTAGGCAAACCTCCTCTGCCGTTTGTCCGAAGCCAGTGAACCCCAGGTACAAGTTGTTGTTGTTCAGTCGCACAGTCGAGTCCGACTCTTCGCGACCCCATGGACAATCTCCCGCCAGGCTCTCCTGTCTTCCGCCGTCCTCCGAAGTTGGCTCAATTTCATTTATAATTCGACTCCTGGAAGGTCGTATCCTCCCCCCCCCCCCCCACCGTGAAGAATCCCTGTTTGCGGTAATAAATGGGATTCAACCGCGGTGGCCACCAGAGGGCCATCGTGAATCTAGGAAGCATCTTTCCCACCCACCCCTCTCCCCTTCCGTCCTTCGCTTCCTTCACTCTCGAGTTTGAGGTTGGGCTTCCCAGGTTAGAGGCTTGGGCTGCTTCCTGTCACTCCTCCCCCATCGCGCCCCCCCAACCCGAGAGGAGCCCCCAATTGCAGGCGATCTGTGCGGGGAGGGCGCATTTGCCTCTCTGGTCCGGCATCATTAGTGCAGATTTCCCCCCGTTCTCCTGAATCTCAGACCACAGGGACGCCCCCCTTGTCACTCAGCCAGTCCCCCCCTCCCTCCAATTGTTGCCTTTTTAAATTTATACACGGATCTTGCCCGGCTGGCGTCCCTAAAGATTCCCCCAGGGCCTGATCCGTTAAGGGCTCAGACAAGGGGCTTCCAGGGCAGGCTGGCGCCCCTAACAAAGAGGAAGGGACCCGACGCCTCCGTTGACGCTGCTCCACCTTCCCACTCCCTTCAGGGAGACGACGAAGTAAGCGTGGATGTCTTCTCTTAACATTTCCTTTGTTCTCGGAAAACAGGCTGTTCATCCATCCGAGAGGCATGAAAGTAGCACAAGAGATAGTGCTGCTGCTTACCAGCAATGTTCTGCACTGCACCTAGGCTTGTCACGTTTAGACCTGGAGAGGTGTACTGTTCCTTTAAAGGATTAAAAGGCAGACTTCTATTGTGGGTGCAAAGTGCCATCAAGTCGCAGCTGACTTATGGCGACCCCACAAGGGGTTTCAAGACAAGGGAACAGCTGTGGTTTGCCATTGCCTGCCTCGGCACAGCAACCCTGGACTTCCTTGATGGTTTCCTGTCCAAGTACTACCCAGGGCTTATCTGGTAAGATAGGGCTAGCCTGGGCCATTAGATGCAGCTTTTCTTGCAACAGTGGTAGCAGAAGCTGCTGCTGGCTGCATTTCTCTTTTGTACTGCACTTAAAAGTGCAGGAGCCTTCTCAAGATCCAATCTTGGGTGCCCTCCATAAACAAGGGAACCCCTGCCTAGAAGTGAAGGTGGGTGGGGAAAGACAGGCCTTGATAAATGAGCAAGGGAGTTGGGAAGGTCTGTTGCTCTGGAGCAGGGCTGGTACTGTTGTCTCTCCCTCTTCCCTGTTTCTTCCAGTGACATGCAGACAGAAAAACAGGTACGTCATGGGGGTTCACTGTGTGCTGAGGAAAACTATGGCAGTGGAATTTCTGCCTGTGACTCAAAGGTACAAGAATCCAGTTTAAAAGAAAGCATCAATCTCTCTATGAAGGTCCAACAAATTGGTCAGGAGTGCTAGAGAAATGTTGAAAATCAATAAATAGATTACAAAAAAAAAGGAGTGCTAGAGAAATGTGTCTTAGTCACAGTCTGAGTTAAAGTTGGGAGAACTAACTGTTTATTAAGAACACTGGGTGGGTGGGTTTTGGGATGCCGAAGTGGCTATTCGTGATGCTTGGGAAGTTAATGCCCAAAGCATGATTTGATGTGCCTGTATGTTTGGTTGTATGCCCTATGAGCCACTCGATGTATGTTTTTCTTTATCTGAACAGGTTATGGAGCCTGAAGTGTAACCTTAGTTGCAGACACTCTTCAATTTCAGTGGAACCTGTACAAGATGCCTCCGAAACGGTCTAGAGGGAAAGCTCCTCGGGTCTCAGGTCAGAACAGAGGACTGAAAACTCAGAGGAAGGTAGAAGAGCAACAGAAGAGCCCTCTCCTTCTGGAGGGGAAGAGGAGAGCGACCAGTCCCGATAAAAGAGCAAGGAAACGCAAAGGCAACACTGCGCCCCAGAGAACCTGCTCTGGAGAGAACCCAAACATCTGCACCGAGTGTGGGCAAACCTTTGCCCAGAGCTCGGATCTAATTAGCCATCAGAGAATCCACATGGGCGAGAAGCCCTACAAATGCCTCGACTGTGGGAAAACGTTCAGCATCAGTTCCAGCCTGAACAGGCACCAGAGAATCCATACGGGTGAGAAGCCGTACCTTTGCTCTGAGTGTGGGAAAAGCTTCACTGACAAGTCCACCCTGGTTCAGCATGTGCGAACCCACTCGGGAGAGAAGCCCTACCAATGCATCGACTGTGGCAAAACCTTCAGCCACAGCTCCCATCACAAGCGGCACTTGAAGAGCCCGCCAGGAAAGTGGCCGAGTAAATGCAGTCACCCAGAGACCAACACCGCCAATGCTTCTGCTCCTGGCAAAGCCAAGAAGTCCAGAATCTCCAAGAAGCAGACGTCTCCCTTTGAAATCCCCCACACGTGTGCGGAGTGCTGGCAGAGTTTCAACCAGACCTCTGACCTGGTCAAGCACATGCGCATCCATACGGGGGAAAAACCCTTCGAGTGTAACCACTGTGGGAAATGCTTCAATGTCAGCTCCAACCTGATCAGGCACAAGAGAATCCACACGGGAGAGAAGCCCTACACTTGCTCTGACTGTGGGAAAAGTTTCACTGACAAATCCACCCTCACCCAACACAACCGCATCCACACGGGGGAGAAACCCTACACATGCACTTACTGCGGAAAAAGCTTCAGCCGCAGTTCCCATCACAAGAGACACCAGCGGATCCATGCAGGAGAAAACCCAGTGTCCTTTCTGCCCTTGTGGCCTTACCCAAACCAAATGTACTAAGCGTCATGGTGGGTGGGATAGAATTTTCAGGAGATCCCTGACCAGCTGAATCACATAGAACAACCATACGACACCTAGGCCAGGGGTCACCCACATAATTACAATGAAGACCATGGTGCCCATCAACACCTTTCCGCCACGCGTTTTTTAACAGTGGGAGGAGCCAGGCAGAGCTTTTGCCCAGCAAGTGTTCTGATTGGCCACTGGAGAATTGATTGACTGTGCACCTTTTTAAAAATGTTACTTTGGCAGCATGTGCCAGCACAGCACAACCATCTTCGCGATGTGATTGAAGGTTAGCTGAGGTGACCATTTTGTGGCTGTGCCCATCATGCTGTGTCAGAATTCCAAAGTTCCTTGCAGGCTTAAAAAGTTTGAGGACCCCTGATCTAGGCACTTCCCAAATTCTAATGGATTTATTCATTTGCCAACCTCCTGCATGGGTGAAAAGAGATTGCCAGCATCCCATAACAGGAGACAGCACACCTGAAACTCACAGCTCTTCAAACCCCAAACCCATCTTGAGCCATTTGGAAGCACACCAGACTTTGTAATGAGGACTTTCCCCATTTCTCTTCATCAGCAAGGGTCCAGACCTTTCCTAAAGCACTCGTTTTATTTAATGACATCTAAGATATGCAGGGTATAGATTTTTAAAACTCATTTAATAGAAACATTAATTTTAATTGCAATGTAATAAAAGCAGTCATGATGTACAATGTTTTCTTATATACCTGTTACTGGACTGAACATGTTCTAACCATGGGCACAGTAAGAGTGTGGCCCTTTCTGAACACTTTGCCACCACTATTCTTCACAGCTCGCTTGACCTTCTTTTGGAAGCAAGAGGAAATTTCCTGCAGTTGGACCCGTGTTTTTAAAAAAACAAACCCCAAAAACGGTGGCTTTGAATTGCATTTCTGCAATTGCCTTCTTCCTGGGTTTGCCTTGTGTAAGCCCCAAATGAGGCAAGTAATGCCCTCCGGAGCTGTTTCATGTTGGGGAAATGGTTCATGGGGGAAGGCTGGATCCCTTCCTTCCCCAGTGCTCTGGTCCTGCTCCAGATTGGTCCTTTTTTGTTGAAGTTCCCTGCAGCAAGAGTTGCCAACTCTGGGTTGGATAATATCTGGAGATTTGGAGGTGGATTCCAGGGAGTGTAGGGTTTGGGGAGGGAAGAGACCTCAGTGGGGTATGATGTCATAGAGTCCACCATCCAAAGCAGCCATCTTTTCCAGGGGAACTGACCTCAGTTTTCTGGATATGTTGGAAATCCAGATCTCCTGGCCCCAACAGGAGGTTTGCAACCCTGCTGGCGGCTGCTATGTGACCATGGAGAAAGTGAGTCTGAGGGTTTCCCTGACCCAACTTATGGCCAAGTGCATCATGTAGTTTAGCCCTCATGTTCTGGAAGTAGTTTGAAGTTGGAGGGTAAGGAATATCAAGCAGCGGGTACTCTGAATAGACTTGTGGACCAATGGGGAGATTCAAGTCTGGCTGTTGGCGTTCTTAAACTTTGGGTTCTTTTTTGGGGGGGTGTCAGGTTAAGATGGTGTGTAAGTAGACCCTCAATGCCTTATAGCTGCACGTTTTACCAAGTGAGGAGGCAAGACTTTCGTCCAAGGCATTTGGTAGAATCCTGAAGATGGAGAACAGCAGTGGAATTAGAGAGAGAGAGAGGGTTTGAAGCCCCATTTCAATATGGGGCTTTGAAATGGTACAGAAACAATGGTATAATGTACAGGTTTCTGTACAACTCTTCCCCCATCGTGGAAGGCCTTCTGGGTTTGTCAATGCCTCATAATCAACCAAGATAGAGCAGGTGGAAGTTCAGTGATAAAAAAACCTCTGCTTGTTGAATTTGTACCTGCTGTCTAGGTTTTAAAGAAAGAGCATAACTTACAAACTTCATGTCTTCTACCCCCAAGGTACAGAGTTAACTGCTGGGGGAGGCAGAAGCTTTTCATGGTAGGGAGGTAAATAATATCACCAGGTAAACCTTTTCTACCTTAAACAATCAATCCACTTTGCCAATTGACCCCATCCTGAAGCCACACTATGGCTGTGATCACACACACTAAATAATCCACTTTCAATGCACTTTCCAACTGGATTTTACTGTGAACTGCTAAGGGGCAGGTTGCAAATGAGTTTTGAAGGCGGTCCTCAAGGAAATGGGGCAGGGGCAGTTGCCTGGGGTGTGTTGTGTGTATGTTTGCGGGGTGGGGGAATCATTAGCTTTCAGCCAAGCATGAAGGTGGTTCAGCTTCAAAATAAAGGCAAAGAGCTGTGGTATAGACTGTTGTTGGTATCCTGTGACACAAAATACTGTTTCAAGTATCCGAGGCTCGTAGGCAACCAATTCACATGTTATTTACTTTATTTCTATCCCACCTTTCTACCCCATGCGGACCCAAAGTGGCTTACATCATTCTCCCATTTTATCCTCACAACAACCCTGTGAGGTAGGTTCGGCTCAGACTGTGTGACTGGCCCAAGGTCAGTGGAGATTTGAACCTGGGTTTACCCAGATCCTCATCCAGCACTTTAATCACTACGCCACACTGGCTCGCTACATTATGGAGTACACAAGTTGGGCCTGGTGTTCCCTTTCTGTGTCAGGTATAATACAAGAACCAAAAAAAAGAACACCACTTGGAAAAAATAACTTACAAGCAAATAAGCAAGTGTATAATGATCAAATAAGCATAACAGCAAGTATAATGTAAATCAAATAAGCATAACAACAAGTATGATATAAATCAATAGGCCAAAGTGCAATGATAAATCAGTCACAGTCTTCTCCAGCATAGAGGCAATATCAAAGTCCAAATTGGAGTGCCAATCATCAAATTTTCTGAGCCATCAAAAGCCTCTGAGCCATCAAAAGCCGATGCGTAATCCGGATGCCTGAAGCCGCGTTTCGAATTATTCTTATTCAACTATGGCTGTAATGGGACCCAGTCTCAAAAGCTGGCATATGCTAAGCCAGAATGGTCAGTCAAGGAGGATTAAGGGTCCTACAGGCATAATACAGGCATAAGTGAGTTGTGGGTTCTCCATGTGGTAACAAATTTGGATCAGAATCACGGCACGTGTGGAGAAAGGACTTCAGATTCCCCCTCCGGTATCTCCCAGTGTGAAACAGTCCTGGGGGGTTGCTATTTGGGGAAATCCCACCTGTTCCCTGAGGTATACGCAGGTTTCCCCAACAGGCCAAATAACTCCCTTGACTTCAAGTTGGGGAAATGAATTGGGTACCATAAACATACGACTCTTACATTTGATGTAGGATGAGGATCTAACCTGTGTACTCCATTATGTGTGGAATTGGCTCTGCTGAGATGATCTTCTGCAGTGGTCACCAAAAACACCAGGTCCAGAAAGTTGCCACATTAGGCTCACAGAATATGCTCACATTGTTCAGATTTTATACCTTTTTTAGCTTATGGGAACCTTCACCACTCTGATGTCTTTGACGTGCATGGACCCTCATGCCCTACAAAGAATTCTGGGAAGTATTCTAGGTGTGGACTAGGCTGGTTGGGCCTCACTCCCCTGCAGCTGCAGATGTGACAAGGGAAGCTTGTTAAGTATTAGCAGTTTTCTTGAACAATCCCTGTTTAGCTTCCAAGGTCCTTCACATTTCTCCACAAAACAGCATGAAAACCTCTGCCTTGAAGGCCAGAACCTTTTAAAAGCTGAAATCCAAATCCAGTTATTGGTAACACAATCACAGCCATACAGCCAACTGGATCTATCTTGCCTTGACTGCACACCTTGTTCTCAGGAAAGTCATTAATCAGCCAAAGAGATGCATGCTGCGGCAGGACTATGTGTTCTCATTCACCTTCGGTGCGTTGAATATCCCGGTGAATCAAGAACTCCTCAAGCTCAGAGTGAAAACACGTCTCTTCCATATGCAGCTTTGTGATTTGGTCAGATTTAGGGTGGAGGGTGGATCCACCGCCCAAGGATAACAAAAGTGAGGTCTTCTTTAAATATTGTGTTGAACAATGTAGAACATGTCTCATCTACAAGTGCAAGGGATTCGTAACATGTCTCATCTACAAGTGCAAGGGATACCTTCTAGCTGCTAGTTCTACCTGCTAGCATGTCCCTTCTGTCTTGGCATGCAAGAAAAAGGTTTTAATTCCTGAACACAGGCATCCTATAGTCACTCTGAGATGCCGTTTTTGTTTTTCCTCTGCAGTGCATCTGCTTTAGTCATCACTAGCAAACACCTCCCCTGGGATGGTTCTCTCTTGTTTTCATAAAAATGGCCCTGCTGGATTAAACAGATGAAGCTGCCTTATAGTGAGCCAAGCCGTTGGTCCCTCAGAGTCCCTACTTACCCTGACTGGCAGCAGTTCTCCAGGGTCTCAGGCAGAGGTCTTTCACATCATATACTAACTGACAGAGATGATTTTTAACTGGAGAACATGCATACCAAGTAGACGCTCTACCACTGAACCACAGCTCCATGGCCAGCCAGATGCCCGTCATGATGCAGATGGCCTTATTCTGGTAATTAGGTATACACTGCCTCTTAACCTAGACATCTCATTCTGCGTGGCTCATTGCCTTTAAGAGAGCACGGATAAACGTAATGGAGGCTGATATGTGGTCTTAGAGCAGGGGGGTTGAACTCGATTGCTTTCAGGGCCCTTCCAGGCTTATACACCTGAAATTGCCTGATATGGAGTCAGACTATGGGTCTAGCAAATCCAGGATGGTCTATTTTGACTGACAGCAGCTCTCCAGGGACTCAGGCGGAGAGGTCTTTTGCATCACCTGCTACTTAGTCCTTTTAACTGGAGATGCTGGGGATTGAACCTGGAACCTGGGTACGAAGCAAATACTTGGTTACTGAGCCGTGGTCCATCACCATACATCTGGATTGCTGCAGTACTTGTGCCATGATATAGACATTTATTTTTCACTACTTTTGCGCTGTAGAGTTCTAATCATGCACCATGTTTCAGGAGCTCAGAGACATGAGTTCGGATCTCACAAACAGAAAGCATTGATGGTCTGGATCTTCCCCACCCTCCCTTTCTCCCTCAAGCAAGGTGTGGAGTCTTGTGAGCAAAAAATCTACTTTGTGAGCTACTGCCGTTAAAGTTGTGAGCGAGTGATTTGGCTACTGCATAAATTAGTTTGCTTTGGAACCATCCTTCCTGAGCTAAGACAAAAATGTGTGAGCCAGAGGCTCAAAATCTGTTAGCTAGTTCACACTTGAGTCCCTTGGACTGCAAGAAGATCAAATCAGCCAATCCTAAAAGAAATCAACCCTGACTGTTCCCTGGAAGGCCAGATAATGAAACTGAAGCTCAAATACTTTGGCCACCAAATGAGAAGGGAGCACTCATTGGAGAAGACCCTGATGCTGGGAAAGATTGAAGGTCAAAGAAGACGGGGACGGCAAATTGTGAGACAATGTCATAGATGCAACGAACATGAAATTGAGCCAACTGCAGAGGACGGCGGAAGACAGGAGGGCCTGGCAGGATCTGATCCATGGGGGCGTGAAGAGTCGGACTCGACTGTGCGACTGGTTAGCTAGCTCACACTAACTCAGCTTAGAGGGAACATTGCCCCCAAGAGCCATTTCTAACCCAGGCAAGTTTGTTCTTGGGACTAAAAGGATGTGTGTGTCCAAACAACTGCATCTGTCAGGTGGCTGCACTGGAGAAAGGGAAGAGACTGAGATTGCTCTTTGGCTCTTGCACAAGCGGAACTCTGCTCATGGAAGAGAAAGAAAGGAGTGATTTTGGCCCCTTTCCTCTCCCCACGGCAGCTGCCTGACTGGTGTGGCTATTAGGACATGCAAATCCCTTGTGCTCAGAAATAAACTTTCTGGATTGCAGAATCCAACCCATACATCTGATCTATTGCAGGTCACACAAAAGAAGATTCGCTTTCTAGAATATCAACTCTAATATAAGCAACAATGTCCTCTGAATAAAACTTTGTTGGCTTTAAATGTGCCCCTGGACTCAAGCTTTGTTACCGAAACAAGGTAGGGATATGGCGATTGCCTTATGTAGCAATCGTATTGGAAATCCGCCGTCAATGACATCAACCATCCAGTCAAAATCTGACTCTTGGTCTCAATAAACTGAGGCTGGGAATCTGCAGTGGCAGGGCCTTGGCCCCAGCACGGAGGACTCGCGTACTGTGATGAAGTTTGCTGTTAAATTGGGTTGGAACTGTTCAGTGAGACGTCTGTTTTGCTGCTGTTTCTGGCAATCTGTATGCAGCCGTCACTTGCAACTGGAGTACACATAGCTCCTTCCACACAAAGCCATAACACAAAAAGGACTGAGCGCTTGCATGCATATCTCTGTATACTCTTGCTGCCGTTTCCACTCGTGTCTGGCGAAGGGGGCTCTGACTCTCGAAAGCTTACTCCCTGAAACGCTTGTTGGTCTTGAAGGTGCTCCTGGACTTGAATCTAACTAACCTGGTGGTGGTGGAAAGGGCCATCAAGTTGCAGCTGACGTATGGTGACCCTGTGGGGTTTTCAAGGCAAGAGGCATTCAGAGGGGGTTTGCTGTTGCCTGCCTCCGTATCATGATCCTGGTATTCCTTGGTGGTCTCTCATCCAAATACTAATCAGGGCCGACCCTGCTTAGCTTCCGAGATTTGATGCGACCGGACTAGCCTGGGCCATCCAGGTCAGGGCCTAACTAACCTACTATATGGTTATTCTCCCACCATCATTAGGCAAATTTCCTTTCCCGCCCCGCTTAGGAAGCAATCTGCCCCTCATCAACCAGTTACAAAGCTCCCTCCCTCCAGCCACAGTTCCCCTGAGCTTCCTCCTTCGGTCTCCTTTCCCAGCATCCCTTTCATCCTACATGCTTCAATCAACACGCCTGAGTTGGGTAAGGCCACAGAGGAAGAAACGAGAGGGAGTTGTCCCCTGTGTGGGTTCGCTGGTGTCTCTTGTGATGGGAGCTGCGGCTGAAGCTTTTCCCGCAGTACGTGCACGTGTAGGGTTTCTCCCCCGTGTGGATGCGGTTGTGCTGGGTGAGGGTGGATTTGTCGGTGAAGCTCTTCCCGCAGTCGGAGCAGGTGTAGGGCTTCTCCCCCGTGTGGATTCTCTTGTGCCTGATCAGGTTGGAGCTGACGTTGAAGCACTTGCCGCAGTGGTTGCACGCGTAGGGCTTCTCCCCGGTGTGGATGCGCATGTGCTTGACCAGGTCTGAGTTCTGGCTGAAAGTCTGCCAGCACTCCTTGCAGGTGTTGGGGATCTCCAGGGCGGAGGAAGCCCGCCTTTTGGAGACTTTTGCCCCTTTGTGTTTCCTGGTGGTCCTGAAAGCATTGCCAGGCTTGTCGCGCCGACTGCTCTTCCCCTGTGGCTTTTCCAGCGGGGCCCTCGGATGAAGCTTCGGGTGAGAGCTGCGATGGAATGTCTTCCCGCAGTCAATGCACTGGCAGGGTTTGTCCTCCACGTGGGCTCTCTGGTGCTGGGCTAAAGCCGACGGGTCAGCAAAGCTTTCCCCACAGTCGGTGCAAATGCAGGCGCGCTCCTCCAGGTGTTTTTGCTGGTGTCGACTCAGATCCCAGTTCCTGGAGAAGCCTTTCCCACAGTCAAGACACCGGTAGGGTTTCTCTCCCTTGTGGACTCTTCGGTGGTCGGTCAGATCCGAGCGCTGCGAGAAGCTCTTGCCGCACTCGATGCAGACGTTGGGCTTCTCTCCTGTGTAGGTCTTCCGGGGGAGGGCGGTGTTCTTGCGCTTGCTCCCACAACGTGCGGGTTTGTTCGCTCTCTCCTCCACAAAACTTTGCAGCTGCCCTCCAGCCTTACTCTTGAAGGCCCTCCTTAGTGCGAGAGTCGGAGGGACGCTCCCTTTCGCTCTCTTTGGAGACATCGTCGGCAGCTTCCTCCTGTATCCAGGTGCTGGTGTTTTTACCTTCAGCCTGTGTGCTGATTGGCTTGTTTCTTTGCTTAACTGGAGTCACTCCCTGCGTTCTGGAACAGGAATCACAGACAAAGCGATTCAACTCACCCAACAGCAGTGGACACAAACTGTTACTGAAGACAACATAACATCTTTACTAGAAGGTTAACAACAATGAATCTCCATCAGATGTGTGTGAACACTCACGGCTGCCATACTGAATCAGACCACTAATGTGTCACGGTCAATTCTGTCTACTGTGACTGGCAGTGGCATTTCGGGGTCTCAGGCTGAGGCCTCTCATATCACCTACTAACTCATACATTTTACCTGGAGATACCAGGGATTCAACCTGGGACCTTCTGCATGCAAAACAGATGCTCCACCACCAAGCTTTCACTCCTCCCCACCATTGTGTTAGGAATTATCTTGGGAATGAAGCTTATCTGCAGGACCAGCAGCCAGAGCAGTATGGCTGGGAAGCTGCCAGGATCCTACAAGGGACCACCACTGTTCTCTCCTTGCTGGGCCACATGGCTTCAGAGCCAATCCCTGGCTGATGGGAAGGGGGCTTAAAGGAGCACTCAAACCATTTGTGACCTCTCCCAGCCAGAAGGGGAAGATCAGCGGCCCCTATAACTTCTCTCCAGAATATCCCCAACACCTGCAGGTTTCCAAGGAGGCCCACTCAGCTTCTTTCTAGGCTCTCCTCCTTAAAAACCAGGAGATTTCTCCAGAGGCCCATGTGCCATTGCACAGGGCCCCAGGGAAATCTCCCATTTCTGGCTGGGAGGGACACCCAAGGACGGAATGGCTTGGCACTGGCACCCTCTTTCAAACCCCATTGGTGGCTGGGCAAGTAGTTGCCAAGCGGGGAGTGTGCGTGCATGTGTGAGTGTGTGTGTGTGGCTGGGAGCCTGTGGGAAGTAATTCTGCCCAGCCCACACCAACCTGCAGATGGGGCTGCTTGCTTGGTACCTTGCACAACACAGACCAAGACACAGAAGGAAGTTCTCAAGGCGCAACAGAGGAGTGGTTCTGCAACAGGTTCCCTAGAAAAGCCTCTGCCCAGGAAAACTTCCATTGTTGAAAGTCCCTTTTCATTTTTGTTTCTCTTCTCAAATCCCCTTTGCATTCCAAACTTGACAGGGAGCAACTGTTTTCTCTGACCACTGTAATAATTCAGCATGGCATCAAGTTCAAATCTATTTAAATGGGGGGGGGGATTATCATAGTCCTTTATTTTAGTAACTCCCACACTCCATTATTAGCAACCCTGCCCACAACAGTGCTGAACCATGAAAATGCAACTCCTTCTGATGTCAACACCACTTCCTGGCAATTTCAGTGTAGAATTTTTGCCGATCAGCTGCCAGTTAGTATTTCCTCTGCACAGGTCCCGATAGGATGGAGGGGAGTCCATCTCCAGCCCCCCTAACAAATCCTCCAGGACCAGGAGCTTTGGGATGAAAAAGGGGTGGAAAGACAGACGCAAATGAGACCCGTTTTCAAGCCTTGCAGCAGGCTTTTTCTAGGGAACCTGACGCTCTCCTCCTCCAGTTGTTGCTAGTTCCTGATTTACCACTGTAGACAGCTGAATCAGCACAGGACTGCAGATGTGCCAGGGGTGGGGGGAGGAGAGAGAGAGAGACCCTGCGAAAAGAGGCCCACGCAGATGCCGTATTCCTGCCTACCCGCAGATCTGTTCCGGCCATCTCTGGCTCCCTTGACGAACTAAGCCGTGACGTGCCGACCCAAAGAGTTTTCCCGCTCGCACCCGCTCCACACCTCAGCGGAGCACGGCAGAAGGCTGCGCTCGGGCTCTCTTCTGCACAGGCCGCATCTCACAATGGAGATGGCACTGGGGGAGGAGAAGGGGGTGCAGGTGGGGGGGGGGATTGGTCGTTGACCCAGGAAATGGAATGCCTGATATCCCGGTCGAAGGAAAAACGGAGAGGAGTGACGCACAGGACTTTCTCTCTCTTCCCCTCTGTCAACAATAGCCAGAGCCCTCTGGTGGTGGCTGCTCACCAGAATCCCCCTGAAAAGTACACAGACGGAGAGTGATTTCAGCAAAGCCTACTTTATTCGAACAGGAACAAGACGGCTTTGGCCGGCTTATATCCCCGACCGCCACCCAAGACACACCCCTACTTCCCAATAGGTTATTTATAGTGGCCGAGAGTCCCATAGGCTCTCGTCCAGGAACCTAGCCCCCTGATTGGAGCGGGCTAGGATCCGCATGGTCCATTGTCTCTTGGAGCGAAGCTTGACATTTGTCTGTGGAGCCTGAGCCAGCCACCCGGTCTGGACTGGATACACCCCCTCTCTCTTAACAACACGTACTACCTTCCTTCCACAAATCCCAGACCAGAGATTCTCTCTCATGAAGGTTTTTTTAAAAAATATTTTATTTACATTATTTATAGTCCGCCTTTCTCACTGGGACTCAAGGTGGATTAAGCAGAGTGCATCAGTACAATCAACAGAATGGGATGTTCAATAAACAATGCAATAGGATTAGGGTTGTAGAACCAACCTGGAATCTAAAAGCAGAACTGAAACGAAGCATAAGTATTAACATGTCACAGAACAAAGTCTGAGTCCAGTGGCACCTTTAAGACCTACAAAGTTTTCTTCAAAATGTAAGCTTTCCTGTGCAAAGCACACTTCTTTCGACCAGTCTTCAGTCTGAAGAAGTGTGCTTTGCACACAAAAGCTTACACTTTGAAGAAAACTTTGTTGGTCTTAAAGGTGCCACTGGACTCAGACTTTGTTCTGCTGCTATTAACATGTCCCAGTGATTGATAGTAGGATCCTACTTGCAGCAAACTATGCACAGTAGTAGGGTTACCAGATGTCCTCTTTTTAGAGGACATGTCCTTTTTTTGGTGTCCGTCCTCTTTTGGGCTCTTTTTAAAAAAACTGGTGAAAATGTCCTTTTTTGGGGTTGGAACGTAATATTCCTACTTAGTAGCAATCGCCACAGTTGAAATAGTAGGGGAATTTGTCATAGTGATCACTGGGAGGAGGAAGAAAAAGAAGAGGAGGAGGAGGAACTTGGATTTATACCCTGCCCTTCAGTACCCGAAGGAGTCTCAGAGCAGCTTACAATCTCCTTTCCCTTCCCCTCCCCACAACAGACACCCTGTGAGGTAGGCGGGGCTGAGAGAGCTTTCCCGAGAACTGCCCTTGAGAGAACTGCTCTGAAAGAACATATGACTGACCGAAGGTCACACCAGCAGCTGCCTGTGGGGGAGTGGGGAATCAAACCTGGTTCTCCCAGATTAGAAGTAGGCAGTCAGGAAATATGTCCCTTTTTTTGCTTTTCAAAATATGGTAACCCTACACAGTAGTGTAACCCTGTGGGTTTGGCCCTCTGTTGAAGTTTGAGGGGGAGGTATTTTGTCCCTGTGGGGGAGCTGCAGGAAAGGGCTGAGGAAAATAACAGTCCTGAGGGGAAAAGGAGTTCTGAGGGGAAAAGAGATGGATTTCTGAGGAGAACAGAGGAGATGGAAGCCATCTGCGTCCCATGGCAAAGAAGGAGCCTCAAGAGAGCTGCAGCAACACAAAAAACTGAAGAACAGCAGTAGTCAGTGGTGGTGAATGTATGGCACTCAGAGCCCTCTCTGTGGGCACACATGCCATCACCCCAGCCAGGCCCAGACCATCATTAAAGTGTCGAATTCTCTGCCAAATAATGTTAAGTAAATGAAAGCATTTGGGATTGCTTTCCTTACTTTGTTTGGATCATCATAAGTTAATGTATGGGTTGTTTTTTCTAAAGTAAAACCTCAGTATTCAGGTTAAATTGCCGTGTTGGCACTTTGCGATAAATAAGTGGGTTTTGGGTCGCAGTTTGGGCACTCGGTCTCTAAAAGGTTCGCCATCACTGGCAGTAGTAGTAGCAGCAGCAGCAATGACTGCCAAGCCACAGCAGGTGGAGTGGGACAGACTTTGAGAAGGCCATAGAGAGAGACAGTAAAAGACTCTAATCATTTCTTTAGTTTCAGCTTTAAGTTTGAGTTTGTGTATGTGTGTTGTGTTTTCATGCCCCGTCCTTCTTTGTTGAATTAATCCCGACTTCTGTTTTATATTCTGTTCCTGCTTGCTTATAGCCTGCGATTGGAGGGTCTGGGAACTGTGTTTGAACTTTTGTCTTCTTTATTTGCCTTCCAGCTGTCCCTCCTGTTATGAAGTGGAGGCCAGTGGGTGGGAGGCACCACTGCTTTCTTTTTCCTTGTCACCCTCCCCCCTCCGTTAACAAATCCAGGTCCCATAATTTCTTCTCTCGACTGGGGTTGCTGGGAGAAACTGGGGTTACAGTAGTATAGGCCACAGTCCCTAACCATTTATCCAAGTAACTTGTGAATCATTTAGTACCGTGCAACTCTTTTGCCTGCATAGAAAAGCCCTCTTGAATAATTCAGTTTTGCACAGTTTGCGGAAAGCCAGGAGAGGGGGAGCCTTCCTGACGTCAGGCAGGCCATCCCACAAGGTCGGGGCCACCACGGAGAAGGCATGTGTACAGGCAGCTGTTGATTCTGCCTGTTGGCAGGATGGTACCTGCAGAAGACCCTGCTCATATGAACTGTTATGGTGAAGTGGAGGGTCCGAGGCCATGAAAGGCTTTCCACATGATAGCCAATACCTTAGATTGAGCCTGGTGACTGATGGGCAGCCAGTGGAGGGACTGCAGAATGAGAATAATATGCATGTTCCATCTAACTCTTAATAACAGCAGAGCTGCAGCATTCTGCATCAGCTGGAGTTTCTGAATTGATTTTTGGAGGAAACCCATGTACAGTTCATTACAGTAGTGATGTTACCATGTCATGGATCAGCTGTATCAAGGTTACAGGCCATTTTGGGGCCTTGCTTCTCCAGTAATAACATTGGGTCCAGTATAACCCCAAGGCTCTTAACTGAGTCAGCAAGGGTCAGCTGAACTCCAACAAATGTGGGAGTACAATGTCCTTCAGGCTCTCCACCTTCCTGGTACTTAAACTGAACCTTGAAATTAATTTTAAAGGCCAGTGTTCAGTCCTGGAAGAGAATACAAGTGTTCTCTAAGCATGTGTGGAGTGCTCACCTTCATTTTTTAAAGTGTATTTCTGTCCCTCCAGGGCATTCAAGCACTATATATAGTTCTCCTTTTCTCTTCATTTTTTCCTCACAGCAGCCCTGTGAAGTAGTTTAAGTAGAGAGGGAGTGCCTGGCTCAAAGTCACCAAATAGGTTTCATAGCAAGCAAGGATTTGAATCCAGGTCTCCACTGATCTTGTCCAGCACTTACTACACCACACTGGCTCATTCCAAGAGTTTATTCCAGGAGAAATTGATCCACTGAAAGAAATGACAGCATTGGTCCGATAAAAGTATGGGGGGGTGTCATGACCCCAGCGGGTTGCCACCTTCTGCTGCTGCCGCCGCCACCCTGGACTTAGGTCCCTTGAGAAGGCCCAGGGTACCTTCCCAAGCCCCTTCAAATTGCCCCTTTGTAGCCGAGAAACGTAAGCGTGATGACCAGGCAGAGAAACAACTGAACAAAAAGAGGAGAAGAGATTGGATTTATACCCCACCCTTCACTCGGAGTCTCAGAGCGGCTTACAAACTCCTGTCCCTCCCCCTCCCCACAACAGACACCCTGTGAGGTAGATGGGGCTGAGAGAGCTCTTTTAAGAACTGCCCTTTCAAGGACAGCTCTTGTTAGAACTATGGCTTGCCCAAGGTCATCCAGCAGGTGCATGTGGAGGAGCGGGGACTCAAACCCGGTTCTCTCAGATTAGAGTCCGCACACTTAACCACTACACCAAACTGGCTTATTATTAGAAAACAAGGGGAAAAACAAGACAAGACAAGGGGCTTTAAAATACATAACAGTGTTGAAAGGCCAAAAGAAACACAAAGCTAACGCAGGAATTACTCCTTAACTGTTACTACTCAAGCCCTACAGCTCTCTTACGCCAGGCTTCTGCCTGTACTCACTCCCAGTGAGGGATCTTTCTCCCAGACCAGTCTCCTCCACTTAGCTCTGTGAGAGGCAACAGACCGCAGAAAGGAAAAGAACACAGTTTAACTGACCACCCAGTATATAAACAATCTCCTTAGAGAATTCCTCAACCCCCATTGGTTACCGCTGGTGCAAAGCCCTGTGGGGATTGTAGGCTGTCTGCTTCCCACTCCCAGGCAGGTCTCTTAGGCCTCACTAGGCCCAGTCCTGCACAGATCTCCAGAGGCCTACACAGATCATGACAGGAGGTAACCAAGTTGAGTCATTAAAAGTCTACTCCACACAGTGAAACTTTGAAGTCTTGGCACCAAGAGGCAAGGAAAGGGAAAACTGAATTTAGCAGGGACCTTCAATTTCCTCTGACATATAATAAGACCAACAGCACAAAACAATGTAACAAAGTAATATGAGATCATTAACTTAATGCAATTGGTTCAATTAAAGAAAACAATGGGCGAATTGGAAAAGGCCTAATTATGAATATTAGGGGGCTTGCGGAGATGGTGGTTCAAACCATTCCATATTTGAAAATTAGATGGTGTTCTTCTGGAGTGTCAGAAATTACAGGCTGTTGCGCAAAGAATCGCTCTATGCAATTAGCACATGGAGATCAGGCCAAGGTTCTGGAGGCAGAGAAGCAAAACAAGCCCCAGGCTCCATCTTTTTGTGCCGAAGACAATTGGAATGCCAAGGAAGAACTGCCTGCCAAGATCCCAGGCAGCAAGCCAGCCAGCAACGCTGACTTCGCCTTCACCATAACAGCACAGTTACATTGTTCCTTCTAAATCATCCAGGCCCACAAATCTTGCACAGTTCAGAGAGGAGCAAAGAAGACAATTGAAAG